GGTTTATTCGCTACAAACTTGTATATTTGCAGGTGGGTTACTTGAAAGTGCCCTGTTTGGAAAGCGGCATTAAAGTACTAATTAAGAACAGACGATTCTAGATCCTTAAGCGTCTTCATATACTCTTCGCACAATACATCAGCATGTGGGCCAAGTGAGGTGTCCAATATGCAACCAAGTGTCAGTTTGCCTCCCATGGTCATGATGGAGAACCCCATGGCCATCTGCAAGTGGAACAGAAGTATGCATAGTATGCAGAAAGTTACAGACCAGACAAGAATGAAATACATTTTCTTCTGAAATATTAAAAAAATAATTTCATTTAAACATTGTTGTACACAATATGTTCAATATTCCTGTCACGGAGAAGGATAGTGTGGAGTGCTAGATATATAGAAAAGACCTCGGACAAATTGCTCCACGTCTAGTTATGCGATACTGCCGAACAGTAGAAGGTATATAGTGTTACTTTTTGGTGTACGACCATGACAAACTTCTAACACGTGCAACCGATAGACTACGGCTATACTAGACGTCAATCAAAGTTCAACTACAACGAGTGTATTATACTTGCATATTTGTATCGTACTCATGAATGCATTGAGTTCCTGTGTACTTACATTTGCTCTCTGGGGGACCCAAAACACCATGTTGCTGACCTTCTTCGTGCCAATATACATCTGGCTACCTGGCCCTGGAACTATTATATGCAAATGGTAGTGAAAGCTGCTGATCAAAGTAGTCACAGGGGAAAACAGACCAATTATGCAAGCACGTGAGAATGAATAGAACTTCGAACAAGAACAGATTTGCATATAAATTACACAAAAATAGACATACGAATATATCCATTTTTAAGTACATTAGACGTACCATTACTGACCACCGCAGTGTGCTTGTTGGCTACGAAGTCAAGGATAAAAGATGTCTGTGTGGAGTCGAACAACAAACGGGAAGTTTAACACCTTTACGCATACGTTAAAAAGGTGAGCTGCATGAAAAGGAATCCATATGATATAAAGGAGAATTGCGTAAAAAGGAAAGCTGAGTAACTTTTTGTGAAGTATCCGTTAGTTCTACCTCATCACCTCTCCACAAGCCCGGCTTAAATAATTTGTGCTGGAGGCTAAAACATATATATTGGGGCATATATCTATAGGCCTTTAGTAAACGGAGTTTTCACGCGAGGATATGGAGAGATGTTAGGTGCGGACTACAACTGAAGATAGGGACACTCAATGACACCTTAGATGCACACTCACCCAAACATACATAATCAGTTATGTGCACAAAGGATGGTAGCCTAAGTAGACACTAAGTCACCAATCCAAATCACAGCGTCATTAGTTGCGTGTATGTCCGTTTAATGACAATATAACCTATTTCTAATCCCACATACACTGACTGTGCATGCATGACAGTTTCAGCTACGCGAAACGTCACAGGAGACGTTGAAGGACAAGGTCGTGCCGGACGAAGCTCACCGCCCCAGTCAAGTTGTCAGTTACTTATAGAACACATCACACACTCCAACGCACACAATTTGAGCACTTTTGTATGGATTTAGGTAAATACTAATGTACGCGCATGGAATGTGTATATATTTCCTCACACACATTCCAATGCATTCAGCTTAGGCACATTCTTATACATATATTTAGTAAAATATACGTATATGTATATGCAAGTATATATAACTTTACACACGCAGACATATTTGTATACTGCTGACTATACCAACTGTGACTGTGACGGCACACACACGTCGAGTGAAAGTAGAGAATTCAGCGTACACACAATGGCTCCACGTCACAGCTTAGTACCGAATCGAACGAAATATCAGAATGAATACTTTATACTCTCGGTAATTTTTCTTCTCATGATACCAAAAAACGAATATGTTATTTACCAAAAAACTGGGGAGGATAGCCGCCATGGTTGTTTGAGCATGATACATCACCAAAGGCGTGACGGACTTCTTAATACCTGAAATTGGGTAGTAAATTTTGGATCTTTCAGCACATGTATAGCACTCACCGTCCAGAATCCCCGCCATCTCTCGAAATAAGACTTCATGTAGTATCAAGAAAATATATTCATACTGTAAATCTTTGTATAAGGCTCACTCCACGTACTTATGATCTGATTATTGCACTCGCTCACCATCTAACAGCACCTTTATCTCCAGGACCAGCGGACCATACACATATTGATAATCTACTTGTAGCACCCTCTTCATCTCTTGGCACATACACATGCGGATAGTCCATGTATAGCACCCACCCAGCATACTGGCTAAGCTATTTATGACACCTAATCACTCACCGTCTCGAACGATCTTCATTTCTCGGCACATACACATACTGGTAATCTATTTATAGCATCAACCCAGCATACTGGCAAAGCTATTTATAACGCCCAATCACTCACCATCCAGAATGACTTTCATCTCTTTGCAGGTCGCCACCGGGTCAGCAGATCGTGTGGGGATGGGAATAACGGGCATGGTCAGATCGTTTTCCATCTTAGGAACGCCTGTGCCTGTGCGCATGTTAACCGGCATGACCACCTGCGTGGATGTAACGTATACGGACAAAAAAATCCGTGCAAACAGGTCACGGGGTGTGGGAAAGCAAGACAAAGACATGTGTGTTATAGGGCTGTTTACAGAAAGAGAAAGGGCTGATAGGTGGCTATGTGCGGCGAGAGAAATGTGTGACACAGTGCTGTTCCATGACGAATTGAGTGCCGGGATGCGGCTTATAGTGATCGGAGTGAATGACGCAATGTTAGTCCCATTGCTATACCACTATTCACACTCTTCCAGTACTATGGTACAGCAAAAATAAAACAAATCATTACATAGAATTTCCTTATAAATATAAATATATAAATGTATATACATATATGTATATATGTATATACATATATATATATATATACATTTATATATATATATATGTATGTAAGGACGGATGGATGGATGGATGTATGTGTATATAAATAATAATATATATATATAAATAAATACAACTTCGTTATAGACAAAATAATACTCCCAGATGGTGCTCGCTTGTCCTACAAAATAAGGTGTATATCTCAAAATCTTGCTAGCTTTATCATCGAGATATGTATCCAAGGCTAGTTAGCTTTGACATTACATAGAACGTATATCTCTCAGAAGACAGGCCACCGTACCTTAACTTCCGTGGGACACGGACCTTTATTTAAGCGCGTCGTGGTTCGATTGATCGCAGCACCCAGTACACCCTGCACACAGAAGTAATGGATTGGTTAGGTCGTGGATCGCTATACACATATACACACACGCACACGCACGTATCTATATAAATATAGATATAGATATAAATAGATATAAAAAAATATAAATTATATACATATATATACATATTATATATATATATATAAATGTTTATATATATATATAGAGCACCATGACTAAATTCCGACCAATAAGTTTAACCTACCATGAGCACATCATTGACGGTCATCTTCAGCTTGGTCTTGATGAGCTTGACCTTCTCCAGCGGATAACTACCGCTACGACCCACCGTGCGCTTGCCCTCCACGCCGCGATCTGCGTACACGTGTGTAAAAGAAAAGGTATCAGAAGCGAGCCTTGTATCGTATAATTCGGCACACACAACGTATATGGAGGTTGATGTGTGCCACAAGTCATGTGTGTGTGGACAAGCAGATGAGGCGTGAGGTAAGGAGCGAATGATCGCAGGACTAGCGCATGGCAAGATAGTCCATGGGCCAACATGTGTATCACATATGCATGCAAAGGCGAAATAGACAGAGAATACGAGCGAATGAATTCGGGATCAGTTCATTATATATATAAATAAATATAAATAAATCTATACATATATATATATATATATATATATATAATATATAATACACACACACACACACACACACATATATATATATATATATATACATATACATACTGTATGGTTCAAAGTGCGGTAGAATGGCCGTGAGGTGAAGACAAGTTGTGTATCACCGTCAATAGATACAATTGCTCTTGGGGCTGAAAGAAGTGACGCAAGCAGTCGAGTCATGTGTGCACAGCCCCACACCACATACTGGGCTTAACGTGGAACATATTGGTGTCAGTCCGTTGTAACAGCAGCCCACCCATTATGGGCAGAAGCATGAGCAGGCCGTACGCATTCACCAGCCAGGGATTGGCCACCTTCTGCTTGTTGACCTGTCTTAGGCATTGTGTTGTGCGAGTGTGTGGGTGTCAGTTGTGATGTGGTGCGAGGTGACGATATGTGAGAGAGGACGCTTGTCCGATGGAACGTGCCGAAGGGTTTTAGGGTTTTGGGGGTTTAGTTTCGAATGTGATATGCAGGGAGATACGAACACACTAGGATCTCCATCGCTTGAGTGGGAGTCTGGCGACAGGTAGAGAACAGCAGATAGATTTGATCCCATGGACTTGGCCGCAGTAATCACTCACCCACGGGGTTCCGGTGGGCCTCTCCATTCTAAACACCCGATGTACGTGACTCTAATACTGTGTGTAGTGTGTGCGATGTGATATCTGTACCCACACACACCTCTGGAAAAGCATGCCGGCTCAGCGTGTGTGTGTAACTCACAGACTAACACGCACGCATTACCAGCATCCCACACCACAACCCGGTACCATACCACCCGGTTGATCACATTGTACCTTGGACGAACTCTCATCCGCCTTCAGCTTCATCTCCGAGGTCAGAGACGCCCCTCCCAGCAGCTTCTTGGCCTCCTTCTCGTTGTTGAGCAGATTGAACAGCATGGTGCCCAGGGCGATGCCGTCGGCTATGACGTGGTGGCAGCGGAATAGGACCACTGTCTCACCCTTGCCGTCGGCGTTAGTCTTGTAGTTCTCCACAATCTTCACCTGTAGCGTAGCGTGTGGCAAGTAGGAGTGCGACATTCAGTGGACAGTGTACGAAACAAAGGGGATGGGATGGGAAGGAATGGCTGGAGAGGTCTACTGTACGGGTAGAGGTAAGGGTCTTGCCGTATACATGTAGAGGTAGGGGTCTTGCCGTATACATGTATAGGTACAGGGTTGTTGTGTGCTTGGAGTAAGACTGCGATAGACAAGAAGTGCTTGATTATAGTATGATATAATACTACATGTATGGTTTTCAGTTTTCGGATGCAAACAATAGAGAAAGCATATACTTGGATGCGTTGATCTATGCTCGCAAGCGTCTCAGAATAACATGCTACAATAAAAATTCGCCTTAAGTTTCCTTAATTACATACGTACAGGTACTTCAAACCCAACGGTACAGTTTTACAAGACGACAAGTAGACAAGTGCGCAAGTGTATAAGTATACATACACCCAAGTACACAGCCGGGCAAAAAGGAAACATCGTATAGACATCATATTGTTCAAGGAGTCACGGATGACGAGTTCAATGCAAGGAACCAAATGCGATATTTTACCAAGTGGTATGCAAGTGGAGAGCAAGCCCAATAGCAGACACAAAAGCTGTATCTGTACACCACATTCAGTTCAATGTAGCTACCAGACGGTCACACACATACTCCTGGTACCTGGGTAGTGTACGCGGGTCTATATACGTGTATGATGACACCCGTCGTATGGTATGGTATGATATATATGTGTATATTTATATATATATATACACACACATATATACATATATACAAATAAAAGTATATGTATATATATATGCATACATAATATACACACAACATATAACATATACACTTTATCACACACCTGCCACATAGGTCTGTCGATGGGAAGGGCTTCTACAGCCTGCCTTGCCAGCCATAAATCCAACTCGTCATCGTTAGTAGGAACGGCATGTGTCTGTTGAGTGATAATATATATATTTTCATATTCATTCATATTCATTTATATGTTCATATTAATACATACATATATATACACACACACATATATTTACTTATATATGTACATATGTATATTTGTATATATATACTTAAGTGTATATATATATATATACATACATATATATATATATATATACATACCTACCTACATACCCACACACCCACACACACGTATATACAAGAAGCACCCATATACGTAGACACGTGTGTCCGATAGTCACAATGAAACATACACTCTCATACGCCTTCCTAACATGCCACATTTTTACTATGACTCTGACTCCGAGGATTGCTGTTGCTCGCGGTGCAAGTACAAGTGTGTGTTAAGAGAGGACAAAACACTTGGTCAACCTCTGGCATATGTGCAAGCGTGTGCGCTATGCGTAAACCGAGATAATGCACACGCGTTGAGTCATAAGCAAAGAGCTTTGCCGAGAATAGTACCTGTCAATGTCACAGATCACACCAATAAACCATATGCCTGTGAACATATAGAGTAATGATATACTCATTTCTTCCCAAACCATCGCCTAGTCCAGTATCACGTCCCCTACTATTCCGCAGTATACCTTACGAATGCACACACAGTCAAATGATACCATACAGCGCCAGTAATAGCAAACGTTCACAGAGTTGTACGCTCTAGTATGACACTATCAGAGGGTTATACGCCTTTGATACCCACATGTAAAGAAAGGTGCAGGCCCTGGTAGAAACAAGGCGTGCTGCAGTACTAAACCATTAGATAGCGGTCAGACACCTGCCAAGACGCCGCCGACTGCCCACTACCCACCTCTTTGCTGATGTGCCATTTATGGTCAAAGTCCTCGTCCGTAATCCACATGGGTATGCGCTGAAACATAATCAGCCGCTGCTTAAACTTGCGGTAGTGCTCTGCATTGACGGCTTTGAGAAACATCTCCTGCACATCCTCCAACGTCGCCTCCTCCGCAAAGATCACACCTGCAATGGGTGGGTGTAGGTACAATGACGCGGATACATAGATATGGTCAGGACTTCCCACAGATCAATATGAAAGGTTGTCTTGTTTTCTACGAACTACTTAGTATCTGGCGTGATTGTATAAATGCTATACACAGCACAGTTGCTTCCGTTGTACGATGCGAGGGTCGTTAAATGCCTCTACATCATGGTTGGCTGTCTGTGTGAAGTGATGTTCCTGAAGGTGCGCGTATATATGGTGTGAGCGATGGCATAAGCGACTCTGTTTACTACCCCATGTGATTGAATGTGTAGTACCCTGTGTGATTGAATGTATAGTACCCTGTGTGATTGAATGTATAGTACCCTGTGTGGTTGAATGTATAGTACCCTGTGTGATTGAATGTATAGTACCCTGTGTGATTGAATGTATAGTACCCTACATCTTGATTCTTTGGTACACGATTGGTTTCATTGAGTACTTGGTGTTTGGTACTACATAGTATATACACATATGGAAAAACTCACACATAACGCGTATGAATATGTGTTCATGGTGTTAATGCAGTAAAATTATGTGTGCATTGTGATATTGCAGTATAAATATGTAATGTTATTGCAGTATAATTATGTATTCATTGTGTTAATGCAGCATAAATATGTGTTCATAGTGTTAATACAGTATAGTTTGTGTTCATGGTGTCAGTGCAGTATAATTACGTGTTCATGGTTTTGATGCAGTATAATTATGTGTTCATGGTTTTGATGCAGTATGATTATGGGTTCATGGTGTTAATGTAGTATAAATATGTGTTCATAGTGTTAATGCAGTATAGTTATGTGTTCATGGTGTTAATGCAGTATACTGTAAATGCCCGAGCTCTTATATAATGTCAGTACTTATCTTGTGTGTGCTCAGTGAGTTGATTATACTCGTGAGCATGGATATGGCCAAGATTTTATAATGGTGTATGTTAGATCGCGCGCGATCGTATACGTGTTTTGAAGTGTGCGATTTGGGTCCGTGGTAAGTAATTGTTTGTGCCTTGGTTAAAATGTCGTTTACATATCAGTGATATGATATACATAGTGCTAAAATATATATACGTGTATGTGTATGTGTATATGTCTATGCAAATACAAATACATAATACACACACACCCATATATATATATATATATATATATAACTATATATATATATAATAATAACTATATATATATATATATATATAC